TCTGTCACCATCTCTCTCCCTCTCGCTCTCTGTCTCTGTCTCTCTCTCCCCTTTTCCCCTCATCCTCGCTCCTTGACCCCCTCTTTTCTGCCCCCCTCTTCTCCTTCACCCCAGCCTCCACTGCTGGTAACCCCCCTCAAGATGCTATATAAGCTCTGACAATCCTGATTCCTTGACCTTCCATCTCTGGTCAGTGACTCACTTCTTTCCTGTCAGTTCTTCTCCAGACAGGGTCTGATAAATTGATTAGATCATAATCTTGTTCTCGCTGCATTCCAGTCCTGCGTTCCAGGCCCTAGGTCACCCCGACTAGTGTCTGTCACTCTGTGTCCTGCCTGCCAGGGCTTCAAGGAAGGTGCACTTGTTAAAAAACTAAAATTCCATAAATATGGAATTTTAAAACGGGCATATTTGCTTTACTATTACTCAAATTAGGATGCTTGACCCGTTGAGAACCATGCTTTCTAATAGTCACACGTTGCTCAGCGACGGGGACACATCCTGGAAGTGCGTCGTTGGGCGATGTCATTGTGCGAACATCACAGAGTGCACTGGCATACCCAGATGGTTCAGTCTACGACACCTTCAGGCTCCGTGGTCCTGACTTTGCGGGACCACCATCGTCTCTGCGGCCCGTTGCTGACCGACACATCGTGGTGCGGAGCGTGGCTAGAATAGCACCGGTTGTGCTTCTGCGTGGGTGTGTGCACGCCGTGTCCCGAGAGGCTGCAGTCAGCTCCTGCCGGCGAGAGTCCTCTGTGTGGTTGGGTTTTCATTCTCTGACTGTCAGGGACACAACCGCTCGTTCCGGGGTGCTAAGCAACAAGTAACTGGCACCTGTTTAAGAAGACACCTTTCCTTTTCTGCATACTTAGGCCTCAGTGAGGCGTACGTGGATGGGTGGGGTGCCCCGTGTTGTTGCCCTCCTGCCTGAGCCGGGCCCTGCGGGAAACACAAGATGGCTGAAGCAGCAGCTGCGTCCAGGGCCCCGGAGCCACATTGGCTCCGGGTGGGAAGACTGAGTCCTGGGGTCACCAGCACCAGCAGGTGGGTGCAGCGAGGGGTTCGGGCTGTGCTCCTGAGCAGAGATGGCCTTTGAATGGCGTGAATGACAAAGGGCAGTTCATAGGCCCCGATCGAAGGAGGGAGGGTTTCTGCGCAGAAGGCAGAGCCGCTGGCATAAAGTTGTGGGCGCCTAGCAGAGTGTGGGGGCAGGAGACGGGGCTGGGAGATGACTCCTCACGCCACCGTGCAAGGTGCACATTGCGACCTGCCTCATCTCCGAGATGTGCACCCTGACCCTCAGAGATCGGTGAGGGTCCTGGGTTCACTTGGACAGCGCGCGGCAGTGCGGATTTCTACCCCGTGTTCTTCCCGCTAGACCAGGGCACGGCAGACGAGGGCCCAGATCCTTCTCAATGCCTCCTCACACGGGCTTTCTCGGCTGGCTTTCTTGGAGTTTGGAGTGCGTGCAGACAGAAGAGGGAGAGAGAGGGGGAG